CTGTGCAAATTAGAAAGATTTTTGTGTTTAGAGTAAAGGCATTTAGTGTGTCTCTTACACTGTTTAACTTCAATGTTTCTGTGGCTGACAGTGATGTAGCCAGTTAACTGTTATTATATAGTTGATGTTCCACCAAGCTCCAACCATTGCCTCAGTTCTTTGTCTTTGTAGCAGTATAATAAGACTTCTCAAAATCCAGTTGAAAGAATGGTTGACATAGTAAAGACACTTGTTTTAGTGAAGTTATCTATTGCACCCATTGTAGTCTTGCTAAGCAGGAATTTGTTGCATTTTCAGTACTAATGAAAAGATTAGTACTTTTCAGTACTAAAGACCCAGTGTCGGAAAAGATCCATTTCTTGTCTCTTCTTTCCATGAGGTGCCTTAGCAGTCAGCTTCACAAAAACTTAGTGTTCACTGAGGTCCTATACTGTGTGTGTGGTAACCCTCTAAAGGGACCAGGCCACAACCAGAGGTTGATTTGGGGGACCAAGAGTTTGGTGTGTATAGTAAGTTCAGGAAAGTGAGTTTTTCTCCTGTTAGACTAAGGCTTTGTGTTTTACCTTGACTTCTCCCTAGCACTTTAATGGGTGTCCCAGGGCGGACAATGGGAGTGATGTTCACACCGCTGACAGTGAAATATGCATATTATGACACTGAGCGCATTGGAGGTGAGTACACTGGCCTCTACGTTCCTTGGAAGGCTTAGGCTTTTTCAGTGGAAGTGGCTGTTGCTCTGTACCAAGGATAGAGGTCTTAGGCGGTTTACAGAGGAACGTTGATCTAAGGTTTGTGATGACCACGAGTCATAGTTGTCCTCCTGTGTCAATAGGTTTCATGGAATTATTTGATAAGTTATTAGAAGAGGAAAATGATCAGCACACATGTCCATTCATAGAAGACCAGGGTCATAGGCATACTAGGTAAAGGGGTCAAGCTCTGTCAAAGGAACAGAAGTCAATAGGAAGAGAGCTGCGAGTTAGAGGAAGCTGAGGCCGGAAGGGATTGGAGGGTTGTCCTTGGTGCTGGCGTATAGTAATTTCCTGTGTCTCTCACAGTTGACCTGATCATGAAGACCTGTTTCAGCCCCAACCGGGTGATCGGCCTCTCCAGTGACCTGCAGCAAGTTGGGGGAGCATCGGCTCGCATCCAGGACGCCCTAAGCACAGTGCTGCAGTATGCAGAGGATGTGCTGGTGAGAAAGGGAGAGGAAACAAAGGAGGAGACACTGTAGATCAGCACCCTGGGTACCTGGGGGGGCGCTGAGCTGAGACATGATGGTACAGCGTGGTGGTGAGGGTGGATTGTGCCTTACTGGATCTTTGTTTTGGTGCTCAGTCTGGAAAGGTGTCAGCTGACAATACTGTGGGCCGCTTCTTGATGAGCCTGGTTAACCAAGTACCCAAGATCATTCCTGAGGATTTTGAGACCATGCTCAATAGCAACATTAATGTGAGTACTGTTTCTGGGCTCTGGAGCCCGCCTCCTCCTCCACCTCTGCACAGAATTGGCATTGTAAGGGGAATTGGGTGTGAGGGGCTGGGGTGCGATGGAGGAAACAAGGCTTTACCTCTGTCCATTTGGTAATCTAGGTTGGGAGAGAGGAATGGGTAGTGCACATGTTGCAGGCTCCTTCCTTGATTCGGTTTTCTCAGGTACTGCAGGTACTACTGTGACTTGTCTAGATTTGAGAGAGAAAGAAATGCTAAAATTCACAAGTGATGAGCGCACAGTTTCTTATTTTCCCCATCCGTGTACCTAGACCTCCGTACTCCACCCATGGTTCCCAGCTAAAGCACCTCTGGATGACTGGTGCACCAGCAGAGATGGGAAATATCCCCAAGCATTGCCTCCCTGCCTTGTGCCTCCAGCTTCTCAGGTCCCATCTGTCATCTGTCTGCCTCCAGCTTCTCAAGTCCCATCTGTCACCTATCTGGGACTGGTCTCACATCCACAATCAGGTGGAGCTGGCCAGCACCAGCATTCCTGCACCCTTTCCACCCAGCCTCTCACTTGTCAGTCTTCTGTCTTCCAGGACCTGCTGATGGTGACCTACCTGGCCAATCTCACACAGTCACAGATCGCCCTCAACGAGAAACTTGTAAACCTGTGAATGGGTCCCAGCCAGCACTTCTGTCAATCTTGGGTCTCAGCTGTAGGGCCCAGCATGAAGTGGAGAAGTGGTTTGTGGTCTTGAGTCACAAAGTAAGTTAGCTGCTTGTGACTCTAAATAAACATAGTCTACCTTTTGTAAATGAATTCCATCTGAAGTGAGTTTATTCCTGGGTAAAGAGGAGAAAGCTTTTAGAGCTCACACAGAAACCATAGACAACACTGTTAATGTAGAAGCTGTGTGTTGGACAGGGCTTGTCATCAGCAGATGCGCCTGCAGCCCAAGCCACCTTAACTTCTCACAGACCCACACCAGGCAGCCTTCTCAACATCATAGTGGCACTTCTTCATGCTCCTGTGCCTGTGATCTGAGTAAGTTAGATCTCCACAGTTGTTTTATTCTTGGTCTTTATAGCATCTTAATGAATGACAGTACAAAGCCAGCAGTATTGTTGCCTTGTACACAATGTTGGAGGCCTTGAAATGTGGTCAAGTGAGAAGAGGAAAAAGAAGAAGATAGACACAAACCTCAGTTTTGAGACCTGTGAGTCTGTGGTGGTTGAGATACAGCTTCCCTGTGGTGAGAAACAACTAGAAAAATGTCCACTGATAGGGTCATCCATTTCTTAACAGGTGGTCTGGTTTGCCCAGGAAATGAAAGTGAGAATCCATAGAGAAAAACAGTTGGAAATCGGCTTGTTAATTTGACTTCACAAAAAAAGTGCATGGACTAGCAAGGTAGAGCTGTCTACCACTTTGGCTCAAGGAGACAGAATCTGGGTGAAAATTTAAAATAATTTCTCCAAAGCTTCAGAAAATGCTCAGGCATTGTCCATAACTCAAGAGCAGACTTGGGCTTTGTTGTGATCTTTAAATAGCTGAGCCTAAACACATCAAGGTGACACTTCTCAGAGACCTTGTAGGGTTCAGTACTTGCCTCGGTAACCTCAAAAATCCCTGTGAGTGACTATCCTGGAATTGTACGTGAGCACTATGAGGCGTCTTAGAATAAGAGAAGTCCTTACTCAGGATGAGGCTTTTACTACATAATGGAATGAAAGGTAAGTGGAGGCAACTGGGAAGCAGAAAGGCTTGGGTGTGCATTCTGGTCCTAAGACATGAAAGTAGAGAAATGTAGGAGTCACAAGGTGGAGCTCTTGAACATAGGCCATTGGGGTGTCCTGAAGAGTCAATGAATTAATAAATATCAACTTTATACTTGTAAAGAATAGTGCCTCATACGGTAAAACAAGTGGTAGCTACCTTAAGGTTAAACACAGTTCAAAAATAATGAGCAACAGGAACACAACCCTGGATCTCATTTCTGGTTCTGAAATATGTAACCCTAAATACTGTATTGTGAATTGTATCGATGGTAGTGATACTTATACGTAGGAAAATGTAAACGTTATCTGAGGGTTATACAAAATTGAAAGACTAAAACTAGAACACAGGATGGGAAGAGGGTTGATCATAATTACGATGTTTCTGTGTTTTTGTATTTTGTGTGTGCACAGTTGCTGTCAACTACAGTCTTAAAATGCATGTTAAAATTTCAGAATACAGGAAATAATATATTCTAGGTGAGGTGATGAGATGTGGAGTAAGGAAAAGGAACAGAAAATTGGGAAATGAACATAGAAAAGGTACGTTAAATCAAGTGAGATGGCAAAACAGTTATAGTAGGTCCATCAATAACTGCAGTAAATGCAAAAGTATTAAAGTAGCCAGAGGGGGAGAAAGATTGGATATCAAGTCTAAACAAACCCTAGCCATACACTATTTATAGAAACACTTAAAACAAGGACATAGGTCCTTGAAGCTGTGAGGAACAAAAAGGGTAAATTTTAATAATAGTGTTGGATGAAACAGGCCAGTCTTAGAAAAGAGTGTACATTATGGTTCTCATAAAGCAAATAAATTAAACTAAACAGTTATTTAGATGTATGTATATATACAAGTTATTGTTATTACCTATCGTAATAGTAAGTTACTGTAGGTAATAACCAAATAAGTTACTTGGTTTTAACTCTCAGGCTGAGTTTAGGTCAGTAGTATAAGCACTTGCCAAACATGCAAAGCCCTGGGTTGGTCTTCAGTACCGCAAAGTAAAAAAAACAAATTGTATAGCAGAAATCTACCATTAACATTTTTTTGAAGCCTATTTAATACATAGAGTTTTCTCATCAACAGTGTGCCTAGAGCCAGCCAACAGTCCCATTACTCAGGCTCGAATGCAGCCTGTCCAGCCATGTCTGCTTCAGAAGGCATTAGAGCATTCTCGCACAGGAGCCCTAGCTAACATGCTTAGGAACCACTGTAAGCAGTGAAGTCAACACAGAGGTGGAAAAACAGCGCAAAGTACACCATGGAAAGAATACTTGTCATGAGAACTGAAATAAAGGTTTTCGGGGGCCAGGGAGATGGCTCAGTAGAATAAGTGCTTCCCTGCCAAGCACAAGGACCTGAGTTCAGTCCCACATTCTGCCAAAAAATAACTTTTCGGGAGCATGACCCTGAGAGGGATATTGATCCCCTGGTGTCTTCTATTTGCTGTCTGCCATGGGGTAAACAAGCCTCCTCTTCCACTTGCTATCACCATACCTCTCTGCCACCAGCAACCTTTCATGCTTTTAAATTGGCCACCTTGGGTATTGTGTCATGGTAACAGAAAACTTACCATAGTGTTTACCTTGAAGATGAAAGGAGCCAGGGTAGTTGAATAAGTAAATATGAGTTAGTGATAATGATCTAGTTTGAGGATGAGTGGTGGGCTCATGAACTTGAATGAAAAACCAAACATGAACTAAGATGACAGTGTGGTATCATTATTAGTTTGAAGAGTTAACCATTGTTTTTTAGTAGAAATACTGAAAGTGAATTGGAAAGTAGGAAGAACTTTTAAAATTATCCCATTGATATGATGGAAAAAAATTTTAAAATACTATTGGAAAACCAAAACATATAATTAATGTTCTTGGAAAAAAGTCAACATTACTTTGAAAAGTGTCAGTTCTCCCTAAGTTAAACTGCATATTTGTCATAAACCTAATAAAATATAAAATTTTTTGACCTGGACAAACTGCTTCTGTTTATGTGAGAAAGTGAAAGTGACTCCTAAAACGTCCATTGTAAGACTACAATGACTTTTGTTTTTAAACAGCCAATAATCCACTACTTGTGCAGAGTTTCTAGACAGTTCACGTGCGTGTGCAAAGAGGCACAACATGAACAAATTGCCCACTGGTTAAAAATATAAATTAATGCCATTGTTATCCTATCTGCTAATTTTAAAAATCAGTACAACTGTGAAGGCCAAATAAAGGGAAAACATTACATGGGCATGTACTGCAGGGAGTTGTGTACCCTCGTGTGGAATATTTTGTATTGGGGTAATATTTTGTCTGAGTAATATAAATGTACCCTTGGCTTAGGAATTTACTCTTAATAAACACTTACAAACTGGTATGACTATAATACATAAATGAACTTTTCCAATATATGGTTATAACAAAGATTTTAATAAACCCAAATGAGTATTACCAGGAAACATTTCAGCTTATGCTCTATCTGTAAAACAGTACTATGTAGGTGTTAAGAAAAATGAGACTATTCTGATGTATTAAGGGTAGGTCAGGATATAATTGGAGAAAATGGTGTATAATTTATTGTCAGTACATACAGAAAAGTGATAGCAATACCTAGGATAATCAAAATATATCCACATAATTTAGCTGTCTTGAGATAAGGCACTGGATAAGGCACAAGGAATGAAGCAATTTGTACCGTGTTTATGAGATAATTTTCAAAAATTCTTTTAAATGTAGATGAACAAAATGTGTTTACAGTAAATAGATCATGGAAAAAGTGGTAAGTTCAGGGAACTGAGTGCTTCCAGGAAGGAGGGAAAGGGACCACTGTTGGGAAAGGACCCACAAGTGTTTAACTACATGCAATTTTTCTGTAAAGAATAGGACAATAGCAATTAAGTATGACAATATTAAACCTTTACTGTCTGTAGTGAGTACATAGGTACTTCTGGTTTTCTGTAGTCTCTGCAAACTTTTTTTTTTTTTTTTTTTTTTTTTTCCTGGTACCAGGGATCAAACCCAGGATGTTGCACTTGCCAGGCAGGTGCCTATGTTGCTGAGCTATTTCCCCAGCCAATACAGTTCACTTTAAAAATTATGAGGTTAGCCTTAATGTAAAGATCTGAATACTAGTTTACCATGTCCCTAGAAAATGAAGCTGCCACGTAGTTTTCCGCTTGTATGTAGAATGGCCCAGAAATGAACTTGGGGGTTGAACATCTCTTCCCAAGGGCCCAGGGCTGCGTCCCGTGAGGTGGCCTGCTACTCCTTCACATTTTTGTCCTGCCTTAGTCACTCCCAGTTCAGCCTCCAGAGGAGCATTTCAGGGCCAGAGTGTAGAATCCAGTCCTCCACTCATACCTAGGTGCCACTCGGAGCAGCTGACCTTTGATGAAAAATGTGCAGAAGAAATGGGACCCTTACCATCTCCGCACACTTGACTGCTTCAAGCCATAGGCAGCCCAAATTCTGGAATTGAGGCCATGCGCTGCTGTTGGAACTAGAGAGGAGTCTGGGGAGGAAGAGACGAGACCCCTGGAAAAGACCTCACAGTGGAGGAAGCACAGCAACACCAGGATACCTTAAGAGAAATGCCAAAAGCTGCTGAAGAGGTCAAGATGAACATGCTGCTGGCCTCCAGGTAGATTAAGTGTTGCTGGTGAGCAGTTAAGGTGTCCTGAGTTAAGGTAGTAAGAAGCTCAGGATATGGGAGGCAGAAACTCATGAACGAAGGGCTCAGGCCAGGGTGGTGGCTCAGTAGAATAAGTGCTTCCCTGCCAAGCGCAAGGGGCTGAGTTCAATCCCCGGTTCCACCAAAAAAAAAAAAAAAAAGGCTCCACACAGGTGAGATAAAAACCTGCCACCTGCCCTTCCTAGTGTGACCTATACCTGTTCCTGCGCATGCTAACTAGAAAGTGGAAGCGTTGACCGTTTGGAAACAAATAGGATGGCAGAGATGAAGTTTCCATAATCAGAGAAAGTGGGACAGGTGTCCAATGCTTGTAGCTAAGGTTCCCCAACCTGTCTGTCAACAGTCACACTAATCTCCCTGCTCAC